GGTCAAATCAAGAACAATAAACAAAATAAGTAAATCTTAAAAATAAATAAATAAATAAATAAAGTACGCACAGATTGGGCCAGCCTGTGGCATGGTGCTTAAGGCAGCTGGATCCCTCGTGCTCAGCTGTGTGGACCCGGCAGCACAAGAAACCAGGCGGCATGAGTATGTGCCTGCCTAAACCCACAGGAGGATGAGCGGAGGTGGGACTGCAGCATGACCCCCTCACGGGGATGCTTTCTCAACTTCCCTTTCTCTCACTTTCCTGAAAGTGCATATGATCTCTGCAAATTGAATATATATAATATTCATTTTAAAAAGTCATATGTAGGGGACCAGCAGTTGGCGTAATGGCTCTGTCGCTGGACTCCCACGTAGTCAACCACGGTTCGCGTCCCGGACCCGGTGGCTTAAAACTCACGCCGGGTGCGTGTGTGCCCAAGATCCTGAGAGGATAATGGAGGAGAAGGGACTGCGGCGTGACCATCCTCCCAGGGAGTGATTTCTCGCTTTCTGTCTCTCTGTCTCTCTCTGTCTGGTGAGCGCACACGCCCTATAGCAAAAAACCTCTACAAAAAAAAAAGTCATATGTAGATGTGTGTATGTGTGTGTGTATACACGTATATGACATCAACCCCACAACACCCAGACTAGCTTTAATATGTTATATATTACTTCTCAGAAAAGCATAAGTCTTTCTTTAGAGAGTTTTTTTTTTTTTGGAGAGGTTTTTGCTATAGGGCATGTGCGCTCGCCAGAAAGACAGAGACAGAGAGACAGAAAGCGAGAAATCGCTGCCCAGGGGGGATGGCCACGCTGCAATCCCTTCTCCGTTCTCCTCTCAGGATCTTGGGCATGCACGCACATGCACCTGGCATGAGTTTAAGCCACCAGGTCTGGGACTCGAACCGTGGTCGACTACATGGGAGTCCAGCAATATAGCCATTGCGCTAACTGCTGGTTCCTTTAGAGAGTTTTTTGCTATAGGGCAGGTGCGCTCACCGGAGACAGAGAGAGACAGAGAGCGAGAAATCATCCCCAAGGGATGGAGAGAATGAAGGAGAAAGAACTGCAGCACGGCCATATGCCCTGGGGGATGATTTCTCACTTTCCATTTTTCTTTTTCTGGAAAGTACGCACACCCTATAGCAAAAACTAAAAGAAAAAGATCTCAGAAACAAGACTGGTCTCTTCACACTTACTGAGCCCCCAGGGGAGTAGGGGGCGCAGCCTACAGAGCTAAGGTCTCTGTGGTGTCCCCCTGGCCCAGCGACGGGCATGTACGCCTTCCCCTCAGGTGCTTGGGGCCCCTGCTCTGAGCCCATCCTGGCTAGGAACTGCAGACAGATCCATCCCACCATGCACAGTCCAGTGACAGGTCCTGGTCTCAAACTTTGTTTTAAAAGAGCAAGGAGGAAAAGAAAGCCCTCTTACATCACAGTCTACATGGAATGATCAAAGAGCTCTGTATGCCAACGTGATACCCAGAGCTCCCCAAGCTTCCGTAGTCAGAGGGCGAGAGAGTGTCATCACCTCTCGCTCCACCGCGGCAAACATGCCCCGAACTCCCAGCCTCTCCAGTGGACCGCAACAAACCTGGGCATCTGTGTGCTTCAGATGTTGCTCCAACGCCTGGCAGGCCCTCTCTGAGCCCTCCCACAGCTGCAGGTGTGTCTCCAGTGATACGATCATTACATTAATGCCCCTTCCCTCTCAGCAGCAGAAGAGACCAGGCTTTCTTTCCACTGGCCAGTGTACCCCCTGGGCCTAGCACCTGAGAGCACATGGAGTAGCTACAGAAGGAATGGAGACACAGACAGTCTCAAGGAATGGAGACACAGAGACAGTCTCAAAGCCTCTGGCCCAGCAGATGGCATGGTGGCTAAGGTGCTGGGTCCCACAAGGCTGGCTCCTCAACTGAAGTTCCAGATGCCAGGGACTGGATTGCAGTGTGGTCATGCCCCCCCACCAGGCCCCAGGGTGAGTCCACGCCTTCCTTCTTTCTCTCATGAGCACAACACCCGCCCGATCGCAAGAACTTAATAAATAAATAACTTCCTCAATTTCCGTTTAGCTGGGTTATGGACTACAGCTTCCAGGAGCTTCTGTGGGTTACAGATCACTGATCCTTCTGAACACACATCAGTAATTTCCTGCTCACCGCTCAGGAAGACGGGGAGCTCAGGAGACAGCAGAAGTGGAGGCTGTTTTGCTTCACACAGTAAAAATATTGTTGACTGTTTGATACTCTTGCCTAAAGCAAGATGCATTTAAAGATGGTATAAATGCATAATACAGTGAGCTTCTTTTTGTTGTTAGAATTAATTTTAAGAAAGAGGGAAACCTCGCAGCTTATCCTGAGAATGCTGCTAAAGCCAAAACAGATGCTCCCACGAAGTTGGTGGCAGAACAGAAGCATAGACTTCCACCGTGAACGATTGCTTCCCTTGAATAATGTGTGTCAACCATAAGGAAACAAACATAAACAAATCTGCCCACAAGCCAGTCCTCAGCTGACCTGACCTACTCCAAGGGTAGCTCCTCGCCCTGCGCTTTCCGACACAAGCCCCGGGCAAAGCCACCCCAGGCCTCCTCCAGGCTCCCGGTGCCCAGGAGGCGGCGGTGGCAGACTCTGCCGCCCGCAAGGTTCCCGGCTGCAGCCCCGGGACTCCGCGCGTGGTGCGGGGCAGCTGGCGAAGCGGAAGAGAGTGCGCCGGGGGAGCGGAGGGTCCTACCTGCAAGCCTTCGGCGCTCGGGATACGCCAGCCCCAG